GTCCTCCCTTAGTAACACTATTGCCAGGTAAGTTGAGGTATCCTTCTGCAGCACGTGAATTTGAACTCCGTTGGCCAGAGTAATGAATTCAGATTTTCTTCCTGGATTAGTGTGTAAACCAGTAGGTTTTATATAGAAAATAACGCTATTACATCCATCTGTGTTCCATGAAATCAGTCAGAAACTGCTGCTAGTAATGCTGCTGGTACACACATCCAGCCTGTGCGTAAGGGATAAAGTGAGAACAGCTACAAGGTGGCCTTAGAAGGGGAGTGCTGCTAAAAACCTGGATTTCAGAAAACCAAAGCAGAGCTATTCAACCTGGGAGAGTCTTAGCTATGTGCAGGAGCACAGCTCACAGCTCCTAAAAGAAGCATAATTGCTTAAGCAGCAAAACTGTTATTTAGACTGCAATTCTGGATTTTCATCCCTCTGTTCCTCATTTACGAGTCTACAGTCAGTATATATTGCACTGAGTTCTAAACCTTTGTTGTTTAAACTCCTCCTTCAGGCCATTATCAGTAGTGTTGTGAAGCATTTTCTTACCCTTTACCCTTTGATAATAACTCATAGCAAGGGTTTCATTTTAACTGTAGAGATAAGGTGATTTGATAGTCTATTTATATTCACCCACATAGTGTAACTAAAACTACTTTTTTTATTTACTTTGTAGCAGTAACAGTCTCTCATCAGATTTTAAGGCTATAGGAAAGCATTTTTTACAAGAAAAAAGTTTTCCCTTTCTATTGTAATTTATTGGCAAAGGCGGTATGTTTTGCGGCAAGTAGGTGTCAAGTTAAAGGAATGTTTTGATAAATGTTTATTGGCCAGTAGTATCCAGTCCATCTTGGAAGAGTTGCTCCAGTTTAACTATAGCAATTTTGTACAATCTTGAGTATACTTTAGTGAACACTGTATGTCAGTTTAAACTGTCAGTGATCTGGAAGGCAGTCCTGTCGTCCTCGTTTCAGGCTGTTCATTACTGCTGCCCCTTTTTGTGCCCACATTTGTACAATGTTGGCTGATCAGGGAACTGATCCTGCTGAAAAATACTCTAGCCTGTTTAAGCTAACAGTGATGAACTGCATCTTTGGGATTGAGGCAAGCAAAGCTCCTGCTCCCATGAGGCTCCTCTGTCCTGCCCTCCTTCCTGTTCTGACTGCATGCTTCCACCTCCCCTTTTCCATTTACATTGGTGTTTCTTCCAACTACAGAGGAGGTTGGATCAGCTCTAACAGCAGTTAAGTTAACATGTGCAAGGAGAAGGGGAAACAGGAATATATTGTCAGCACAAGCTGTGTGGGTGGGAATGTCCCTCTTGACAGCATTGTGGTCTTAATTAATTTAAAACCAGTTATGAAGATGAGTTATAGCAGAGTAATTCCACAAGCATTTAAAACAGCATAAACTTGCACCACAATTGAAAGGTGTGGTTTTCATCCCTGGACATTTATTCTTTGCACAATATAAACTTGTGCATGGCCATGCGGTGAACTAGACTGGGTCCTGGTTAAAACTAGATTAAAAGCAGCTCTTTTTTTTTTTTTTTTTTTTTTTTTTTTTTTTCTCCCCACAGCAGTGCAGACTTAACATACAGTTTGGTAACAGTGTAAGCTAACAGAAGTTGTGGCTGCTACAGCCCTGCCTGCTTCTGCTGCCTATTTGTACCTCCTCCTTTGTGTCAATACACACAGTCATGCAACTGAGTTGATGACACACTTAATTGCATTTAGATGCAAACATGAAAAGCTTCAATGCAAGGAGGTTTTTTATTTCCCCTCATAAAGTTATGTTCCTTTCCAATTCC